AATTTTAGTGCTTAATGTATTGGTAACTCACCAAAATTTATTTTCTTAATTTCTTACTTTTCATGATTGAATCCTTAAATCCCAATCCTTATATAAACCCCTTCACTCATTCTAATCTTTTCACCATCGCTCAACTTCTCTTTGTTTTCTTCATCTAAATTTTGCCTCAAATATTACATAATTCAACAATGAACCGTTGGCCTGAGCCAGTGGTTCGAATTCAGTCTCTGTCTGAGAATGGCATACGTACCGTTCCGGACCGATATATTAAGCCTATAAACGACAGGCCTGAGCTGAAACCTGTCTCCGATGAACACGTGGACATTCCCGTCGTTGATCTCCGGAACCTGTTCGGCAAACACCGAGCTCTCCACGAAGAGACCTTGAGACGCATCTCTAGCGCGTGCAAGGACGGGGGTTTCTTCCAGGCGGTTAACCATGGGGTTAGTCACGAGCTTATGAAACGCACCCGCGACGCGTGGCGTGAGTTCTTCGACTCGCCGCTCGAAGTGAAGCAACTGTACGCCAACTCACCGAGCACCTACGAAGGGTACGGTAGCCGGTTGGGAGTCGAGAAAGGAGCGATACTTGACTGGAGCGATTACTTTTTTCTCAACTACTTGCCGGTTACAGTCAGGAATCAAAGCAAGTGGCCTGCACAGCCGACATCATGCAGGTGCGTGCCACCGTCTTAATAACACGTTTACTTTGATGTTTTTACGTACGTTTTATGTTGTCTTCTTTATCTCGTCTTCTTGACCGAAAGATTTGATCAACCCACAACTAAGCTTAGATTCAAGCATTCTCATATTCATTGATCAGCTTAGTTTTAATCAACTTTGATATTCTTTTTTACTTTGAGATAATTACAACTGGAAAAAAAAATATTTTCCATATCCAGATATGGTTGCATCCAGTAGAGATCAATTACTGGGGGCTTTAACTTCTAAACATGTGTACATAACATTTTTGGTTAAGGACTAAATCAGTGTAGAACTACAATATATCTAAATAAATTCGAATTTAAACTTGCAATAAATAAGAGAGAATTCGACGACACGCGATAATTAATTACGAATAATTAGATTTGAATATGAATACTCAGGGAACTGGTTAAACAATATGGTGCCGAAGTTACAAAGCTATGTGAAAGGCTGCTTAAGGCGATGTCTATAAGCCTTGAACTAAAAGAAGATTACCTACAAAACGCATTTGGGGGAGATGAAGTTGGGGCCTGCTTAAGGGTCAATTTCTATCCAAAGTGCCCTCAACCTGAACTTACACTAGGTCTTTCCTCGCACTCGGACCCGGGTTGCATCACTGTTCTCCTGCCCGATCACGACGTGGCCGGACTCCAAGTTCGTAACAACGGCAAGTGGGTTACGGTGAAGCCTGTCCCCGATGCTTTCATTATCAACGTTGGAGATCAGATTCAAGTATGAATTAACTTATACAACGTTACGACGATCCTATATTAATTTCGTAATAATTAAATTTACTGTCATGAGTGTTTGACGATGCTTGTTTAGGTACTCAGCAATGCAATTTACAAGAGCGTCGAGCATCGTGTGATCGTGAACTCGGAAAAAGATCGAGTCTCACTGGCTTTCTTCTACAACCCTAAGAGTGATATTCCGATCCAACCGGCCGAGGAGCTGGTGAATGAAGATCAGCCGCCGCTGTATAATCCGATGACATACGATGAGTATAGGCTTTACATTAGGATGAACGGTCCCTGTGGTAAAAGTCAAATTGAATCCTTGAAAGCCAATATATAATCTCCGTTCTCAAAAACTTTATTTTATGTGATAAAACAGTGTGGGGCAGTTATCATCTCACTTGATATTAAATAATAGTTTATGGTACAGTTGAATAGAGGTGCAAAAAAGAATGAGTTTCATGTTTTAATTACTTGAAGCTTTAATCTGAAACAGCATACCAAAGTGAGCCACTTTGTTGTGATAAAGATCACACTTTCATTGAAAACTAGAGCTTTTGACTATCAAAATACATTGCTATTTCTCACCTTCCCACAATAAAGAAGAAAAACCCCACAATATCTATACTATGAAATGCACTTTGAACACTCACAATAGCGTTATATACTTGATTCCATTAATAATTTTGAGTAAATAAAATTGCCCTTCATATATATAAGTTTCAAAATGAAAGTAATTATCCGAAAGACGTAGAGATTCACTTGAGCGGAGAATATGATGACGACTCTGAAAATATAAAATAATTCACATTATAGTCGAATTGATAATAGGATTTGTCAAGGCTTGTATACATTTTTCCAACTGTTAAACAGGTTGTAATTTATAAACACCTTTCAAACCTTCATTGTTGATTGTCATCTAGATTTTAGATTTTCAATAATGCAATTTTAATTATTGCTTCAAAGGTGCACCAAATCTTTTAGTGAAAGATCATGTTATTAAGAGGGTTTGGGTTGTTACTTCTTTGGCTTATTTAATGACGGTGCCTCTCCCTGTAGAGATAGTACCATTGATGGGTCAGTCAACCATCATACTACGACCAATGACTACCCTACAAGTAGGATTGGGTTTGAGGAAGTCAAAATGGCTCTTAGAAAGATGGGGAAGGACAAAGCTTTCGGTCCAGATCAAATTCCTATCAATGTGTGGTTGGCCATAGGCGAAGAGGGAGTTAAGTGGTTGACCAACATCTTTAATAGTATTTTAGAGAGTGCCAAGATGCCAGATGAGTGAAGAAAGTCTACGGTGATACCAATATATAAGAATAAAGGAGATTCCCAACATTGTGGCAACTACAGAGGTATTAAACTACTCAGCCATACCATGAAGCTATGGGAAAGGGTGATAGAGGCTAGGTTAAGACAGGTTACTAGGGTTTCAGAAAACCAATTTGGCTTTATGCCAGACAGGTCTACAATGGAGGCGATTCATCTACTTCGACGGCTTATGGAGAAATATAGAGAAAAAATAGAGATCTTCACATGGCGTTCATTGACCTTGAGAAGGCTTATGATAGTGTTCCCTGCGATACGATCTGGAATACCTTAGAAACGAGACGGATCCCAACTGCTTATATCCGGGCGATTCATGATATGTACTGTAGATCTACTACATACGTCATGACTACAGTTGGGGACACCGAGGCATTCCCGGTGGAAATCGGACTCCACCAGGGGTCGACTCTTAGTCCTTACATCTTCGCCTTGATTATGGACGACATCTATTGTGCGACACTAGACGATGTTCCATGGTGTATGCTTTTCGCTGACGACATTGTTCTAGCTGCTGAAACAAAAACTGAGCTGAATAGTAGACTGGCTACCTGGAAGACTGCTTTGGAAGAAAAAGGTCTAAGGATCAATATTGAAAAGACAGAGTATTTATGTTCAAACTTCAGTGAGAACCAAAACGATGAAGATGTAGAAGTATGCATAGAAGGAAACGTTCTCCCCTCAAAGGATTGTTTCAAGTACCTAGGGTTTATGATACATAAAGATGGGGGTGTAGATGATGACGTTACACACCGTATAAGGGCAGGATGGCTAAAGTGGAGGGTTGCTACTGGAGTTTTGTGTGACAAGAAGGTGTCTCTAAAACTTAAGGAAAATTTTTATAGAATGGCAATAAGACCAGCGTTTCTGTATGGATCAGAATGTTGGGCAATCAAGAAGGATCACGTAAGGAGGATGGAGGCCGCAGAAATGAGAATGCTTCGATGGGCATGTGGTAGGACTCTGTGGGACATGACACCAAACTCTGCTATTAGGATGTCCTTAGGGGTGGTGCTTGTATCCGAAAAATTGAGGCAGGGAAGACTACGGTGGTTTGGGCATGTCCTTAGGCGACAACCATCGGATGCGGTCAGGAGGGTAGAGTCGATTACAATCGACGGTGCCAGAAGGAGAGGACGACTAAGGCGGAAGTGGGAAGACTACTTGAGATATGATTTGAAGGATTTATCCCTTACCATGGACATGACCTCTGATATGAAAGTATGGAGACTTAAGACCAGGGTAACCGAGTAGTGCGGGTCACATCCATAGGGTGTATCATCTTTGTCTTCTTTTAATGCCTTTGTAGTAATTTCCATGACTTCTGCTTTTTGTACGTTTCTGTCATTGGAATTTATGAAGGCTTAGAACTAGGGTAGCGAAGTTGTGTTGCCTTAGTTTAGGTTTTAACCCATTTAACTTTATTCCTTCTCGTAGCTTGCTATTGTTGACTTATGTGTATCCTTCTCTCCATGTTTTCTCTTTTTAAATTTAGTCGGGTCTTACGTTTCTGTCTATATGCAGAGATTTTTAGGCAGGGATTTATTTGATGGGATTACTTCCCATTACAGACACGTATATGAAGACTGCATATGAAGATTGTTCAACTATATATTTATTTATTTATTTATTTGTACATGCATTGCATTTTATCTTTATTTTTAATTTTCTGACTGTCGAAGGTCTTCCACGGAAGCTGCTCTCAGCCTGGCGTTGGGGGCATCCTACTACCCTACCCCCCTTACCCCATTGCATATGGGAATATGGTTTTGTTGTTGTTGTTTCAAACCTTCATACTCTTTCCATGTGGGATGAAAATGTTTTAAGCACTCAATGTTTCTTAACAACATTTGTTTTACTTTGAGCATTAATTTTACATTCGTCGCTTAATCATTTTAAACATATTATACACCGTTTCAAAGGTCTCATGAAATAGAATATAGAACATAATTTTATTACCCAAACCTCAAATTTTACACATAAATAATATTCTCTCTTTCGAATGAAGATTTTAAGATCCAAAGTTAAGCTTATGTTGCTTTCGAGAATTTTTTATTCATGCTTGTGGAAAGGACTACAAAGGAATCTACAGCTAATATATTGGCATACGGAGCCTTCAAGGGTGACTATATAGATTTGGAAACACTACAAGTAGAATTCCATGTGCTATATTCAATATTGTTTCTTATTCAAAACACCATATATGAGCAAACATATGCTCTACATATATATCACATCACACTCTTATTACCTAATAATGAAGCTGCATCTCTGTGATGCTATACTTGATATGATCATTGATTTATTATACAAATTTATATTGTCTATGCAATGGAAGCCTGTGGCATGATTCACATAAAGCTGGGCACCAAGGGTGATGAGCAAACCGAGATATTCCATGGAAAGACGATGATATCATTAGCGGTGTAGGAAAGTCTTTCTTGCATGTTTGGATCATTGTATTCATAGGCATCTGGGTGGAATGTCGATGCAAATGTGTATATCGACAATGATGATGCCGAGTTATCTTTCGCTATTCTGGCCTCAGAATCGGCTTCGGAATCCTTTATGTTGGACTCAGACTCCTCACATAATGAAGGCAATGATACAGGAGATGATGATTTGGTAGCTTTTGTTGGGGGGACTCGGTTCCTATGATCCCCGCCTGAAATTCTCTTGAAATATCTCGTCTGTGCTTCAATCTTGATCTTCAAATTCCTTCGGACCTTTGGATAATTAAGAAAGTGTTAAACGAAGGGGGTAATCTAAAAGGTTTGATCTTATGCATGGTGATAGGCAAATAACACCTCGAGTTTATCATCCCCTTGTTTTCTTTGTGCTTCCATATGCAATAACAATGCTTCATTAAGCTGTGCAGCTCTTTAATCAATGCAAGGACAGGGCAAGAGTGAATATATATGTATACTGATTCAGATTCAAATATTTAAGGATTCCACAGAAAAAGAAACGATAACTCACGATGTTGTACCAAAATTAGGCAGTATTTCTGAAATACTTCTCTCAAACTTGCATTCTCCGGTTAAAAAACACAACATGATATCAGATTTCTATGGATTAGTTGCTTCTCTTCGTAACATCAATGTTAGCGAAAGAGAGACTAAGGTTCATTGAACGTACTAGTATTTGTTTCTGGAACAAACTTTACCATCCTGTATTTCTGCAAGTGACTTTTGACATGGTAAATGGTAAGCCCATCAACGCCCATAGCCTTGAGAATTCCCTTAGGCGTCGCCCCTGAAAAGAACAACTCACATAAACATCATCCACCATAAAACCAAAGAGAAGGCATAGCTAAAAGGACTTACTATCTGGACCTCCTAGCTGGTTAACAGCTTCTTCGAATCGATCCTGGAGCTCTCGAGTCCATCTTAGGCGTTCCTTGGAGAAGCCTTCAGCGCGACTTGGACGACGCATTGCGGAGACAATGGAGGGAGACAAGAAAACAGTTGGGAACCAAAATAGTATATCTGAAGGTAGTGGTAAGCACTATGAATAGATTGGTAGGATATTAGGATTAATGGGTGCTTTAATGTCTTTTAGCAGTCGCATTTCACAGAGGTTTCCCCATAATCCAAATTATTTATTTAAATCAAACTCAAAGTTAGGTTCCTTGTTTGAACTCTTATGGCGGCGGGGATCTCCATGTTCCAGAAAAGGAAGGAGATTACTTCCTATTTGACATTAACAAGAAGATTGTAGATATTGACTATGGACATATACCAGTCACAATTTTCTAGTAATTTAAGCCTTATTCAATTTAATTTGATCGCAGGTTTAGCTTTATAGGTTTACCAGTGACTGTTTTATTTAAAATAATATGACGAACAAAATATAGCTTCCCTTAAAGATGGTGCTCCATTGATGGCAATTTGAACCCATGATATCTGCACACACATGTTCCCAAACAAAACAGAGATGTCAAGGCTATGACCATCATGCATGCTTTCCCATTTAACTACATGTTGAGATTGCTATTTAGCATAGGTTGCACCTTAAATTCCATCGTCAGCTGAACGAGGATGATGAACCATTCAACTCTTTCCATCGTTCACCTTACGCGCTTACTCTGCAGTGAAACACGATTCATCCTCGACCAGGTTTCAATTGTAATGTAACTTATTGCTTCTTACCACTCCAATCCACTTTCTCCATGACAAAAGAGTGGTAAAGTACAATCAACAAATGACCAAAAGACTTGAGCCAAATTATGCAAGGGCCACTCAACAGCAAGATTTAAAGGGTAAAGGCATCAACAGAAAACGTGCATAATAATTTACCAACACCTAGATAACTGTTATGATATACCAGTTCAGAACACATGAACTTCCTTCTGGATAATAAAAGTAAAACCAAACGTAAACTCACACAAATTGGCTGATGGTAGTGAGGGCTACACATTAGGGAGACGATATTAATCGTTTCAGGCCAGTTTTCTGTTCCGGTGTAAGCTTTGTGGGGAACTTGATGTTGAATTTGATTTTCAAATTTCCTTTCTTGGAAGGTTCCTTGGGGATGGGCATCCCCTCCCCTTTAACAACCTCCTCATAGTTTGGACTGATGATGTTGTTAATGGGGACAGTCAGATTCCGTCCATCTAGGGTTGTCAGCTGAGCTGTATATCCAGTTAGGGCTTCAACTAGAGAGATCTTCTGAGTAACAATAAGGTCATTTCCATCCCTCTTGAACAGACTGTGAGGCTTCTCATCAATGATGAAAACAAGGTCGGAAGGAATAACCCCTCGCTGCTCATTTCCCTTTTCTGGAAAAGTGATTTTTGTACCTTTTTTCCACCCTGGCTTAATCTCAATAGTGAGAATTTCTTCCACTGTAGTAGATCTCCTGTAACAGGAAACAAAATCACAGTTTTAAAGTACATGAAAAAAAAATCAACAGTTTCCTGAAACAATGGCATTATTACTAAATAAATACGGTTAAAAATTGGAACTTCAACCATCATAGTTTGACCAATTGAGTCATATAATAAAATACCTAGGAGCAATGTTGTCAAGGGAGCAAGGCACACACCAAGTGCTTAAACCCTTATATTGCCGAAGGCGCAAAAAGTGCGCTAGCCTGAATGAAGTGCAGTGCAATACATATGTGTGCTAATTTTTGTAATAGATATAAAGCTTAATACACTCTAAACTGTTGTCGAGCTCATCTACAGAACATGCAGTTTTTAATTGGTCAATATGCGCTATTTCCTTTAATTCCTCGTGGCCAATATTTTCTGTTGAATGCTCAAATATTACTAAGTACAGAGTTCGATATTATCTTTTTCTTTCTAGTAAAGACATATCAAATGTAAAAAGGAAAGTGAAAAATAAAAGAAATTGAAGAGAGATTCAATCGGGCAAGGCTTTTTTATGCCTAACGCCTTTCAAAAAAGCATGCCCAGGCACACTAGGCGTGAGCTTGAACAAATGGGCCTGGCCTGAAGGGTCTAAGGCGCTTTTGTTGAATAATGCTAAGGTGCAGGCACATCTAGGCGCACACTTTGACAACACTGCTCAGGAGAAAGTTGTTAGTCTCACTGTTTTAAAACAATTACCACTCGGTGGCATGCAAACTTTCAGACTTCTAAAGTTTAATTCACATGGTAAATTAAACTTATATACATTTGTGGGCTAGGAAATTCCGTCAGGTTTTTCATCAAAGAGACTACCGGTCTATGGATGATCTGGTAGAACCAAAGCTAAATGGCGAGGAGGGAGCACCAATATAGAAGGAAACAATCATGATAACCAAAACATAGAATATCTTTTAAGCTCTAAGCTGGCATGCAAAAGTGGCTATTATTAAAGAAACATCCAGTCATTTCAAATGATTAACGTCCCTTCATCCTAGCAAGTAATAAAGTTACTTTTAGCAGGAAAAAAAGTCAAACTTTACAACTTCTGTAAATATCTTTTGCAACCTAAGTTCATATGCAAGCACCTTTAAATGTCAACTATTTCTTCTGTCTGTTATGTCTAAAAACTATCCATGCCATTCGATCACTGATGTTTTCACTAATCACAAGCCACATTGAAAGTTAATACAAATTGAATTTAACTCTACAGCATGAACCCAGCTGAAGATTCAGTATCCACCAAAAAAACTAAGCATTACCCAATTAATTAACTTGAAAAAGAAAAGCTCTAGTCCATAAAGAAAGGGGTTACCCGCTATGATCAGACACATCCCTCGAAATCTTCATCTTCTTGGTAGTCCCTTTATACAAATCCTCCAAGCTGCAAGGCAATGTTCGTTCAATTGGGGGACCTTTTCTGGGAATTGAAGCATCTCCCTGTACATGTCCATGTCCACCCCTAAATGACCCGAATATATCTTCCCCAAACATGCCCCTGGGGAATCCTGACGCCCCCGCACGTGACCCGCCCATATCCCCAAACGGACTCGAAAACCCGAAAAACTCCGAGAAAATATCGTCAGGGCTCCGAGTGTTGAACCGGAACATCGTCGGACCCCCATCTGCCCCGCCCGGATATCCCCCCGCCCCGGGAGGGGGCACCTGGCCTTTTAGCCCTTCTTCTCCATACTGATCATAAACTGCACGCTTTTGGGGATCACTCAAAACCTAAAATTGATAGAAAAATTTAATTCGTTTAACCAAAAATAAAGCGAGAAAGAAGAAGGAACCAAAATTTTAAATAAAAAAGAAACTTTTTTACGTCGTAAGCTTCCGAGATCTGCTTAAATTTAGCTTCAGCTTCTTTCTTGTTATTGGGATTCTTATCGGGATGCCACTTCATAGCCAGTTTGCGATACGCTTTCTTCAAATCTTCATCTTTTGCATTCCGATCGACCTGAAGAATCTTGTAATAATCAACGCCCATTCTTCAATTTTCTCCTCTTCTCCCCTGCTATTGATTTCCTTTTTCTTTTCTTCCTTCTGGGTTTCGAATCATTTCGTCACTTCACCAACGTAAGAAAGCCATTACACCGATCGGGACAGGCGAAGCTCGGTTAACGACCTTTGGCCCATTCTCAAACTATTGCGGGCTTAACTTTTTATGCTTTCTTGCCCAGTATGTCCAACAGTTTTTGTGGGTCAATTTCATAATAACACAGGCCAAATTGGCCCATTACGGCTCCCGGGTAAATTATTTAGCCCATTAGGACACCCAAACTTTTAATTTGGGATTTACGGCAATTGCAACAGTCCCCACAACCTGATTAAAAAATAAATTTCAATAGGGGCTCGTCACACCGGCGTGATGAATCCCAATAAAAAAAATAATATTTTTTAAAATTTTAAAAGAAAATTAAAAAATAATATTTTATAATTTTGACTTTTTTACCGTTGGATTGAACGTTGTTCAACGGTCGATTTTTTTTTAATTTCAATGGAACTCGTCAAGCCGGTGTGACGAGTTCCAACGGCTATTTTCAGTTTGAAAAAAGTAGTCGTTAGGTAGAGTAGTATAAATAGAGGTTTGGGTTAGATAGATTTTTCACTTGTAATCAAACATTCTACCGAGAGCAAAAACTTTTGTGTTGAAGAATTTTTGTTAAAATGACATCAAGAGATGAAATGTTACGTCTTGATAAAATTCATATTTTGTCGATCGAGTTGACAACGATAAGTTTTTTTTTCATTTTAGTTTTGACAAAATTATAGTATTAATAATAATTATTTTATGTAATTGTATTAAATAATTTATTTTCAAATTGTAGCGAGAAGAACGAACCATTCGTCATCGAGGAATGACAAATGAAAAGCCACGTCAGCGGAAGTTGATATATATTTTTCACAATCCGGATTTTATGGAGCGACGTTTCTTCGCGGATTTAAGGTGATGCCGGAATTGATATCGGCGTTGATTGAGCGTTGGAGGCTTTAAACACATACGTTTCATTTACCTTGTGGTGAAGTGACGATAACTTTGGAAGACGTCGTGTATCACATTGGCGTTCCGATTAATGGTATGTCATTGGTGCTTCGCAACACTTATAAGGTAAATGTTCTTATTTAAAATTTATTGGGAAATGAGGCTCCAATCGATTTCATTAATGGCTTGCAAGTACGGATGACGTTGTTGGAAATCGAATTTAGAGTAGATGAACAATCAACGGAGCAAAATGTGATATATACAGCTCGAGCATATCTTTTGACGTTGATTGGAGGGATCTTGCTACCGGATAAATCAGGCAATTTGGTGCACACCCAATATATTCCGGTTATGGAGGATTTCGTTGTATGTCACCAATATAGTTGGGGTTCTGTAATTTTTGCGTTTTTGTATCGTGAACTATGTAAGGCGACCGTAGTCGTTAGAGGAAAAAACGGATGTAGCGGGTTGTTTAGTTTTACTCCAATCATGGGCGTGGTATCGTCTCCCATTTATGACGCCTATTACATTCGCTCTTATGGAGTTTCCTCTCGCCGCAAGGTAAATTCATATATTTAAAGTTTTGATATTTTATAATATTTATTTAAATATTTTGAAAAATGACAATAAATAATGTAATTTTTTTTAGATGGTGACACCGAATAATCGATACAAAGTTGTCGGGTGCAATCAAATTAGATAGTCGAATGAGAATTGATATCGTCGGTAGACATACGATAAATTTTTGTATTTTTTGCATTAACTTTAAAATTGTAATATTAATTGTTTAATTATACTAACATAATACTTTTGACAGTTTAATTGGATGCCTTATTATGAATCGAATATCCAACGATGTCTACCATCAATGTTCTTTGAAGGAGCGGACACATGGTGTGCCATAACACCATTGCTCCATTTTGCAATTGTTGAGATCTATGCCGTCGATAGAGTTTTGCAATAATTTGGGTTTCACCAACTAATAGAAATGTCAATATATAACATTGACGATTTGCATAAAATAGATGCTCATGGGAAGCATTCCGAAGATTGGCCGAGGAAGAATGATACATTCATATATGAATGGCAAAATAGACACTTATGATTGCCTAATCGTTCCGAGGTACAACCCGAAGATTTTGATTTCAATGTTTCTCCCTACCTCCAAAATTTTGAAGCAAATGGGAAACCATACTTGACAACGGTAGAGGAGCGGTTCGAGTGGGAAATAATGAAGGAAAAATATGGGAAAAATCATCATCTTCGTTAACATCTTCATCTTATGCTTCCGCTAATTATTATTCATCGCAAGAAAGTTATGGTGAATATGGTGCATATCAACCATCGATGGAGAGTCGAGCGACGCTGAAAGAAAGTGGGTAGGATCAAGTGCCACCTTCACAACAATTTTCCTCAGAACCGGAAGAAATAGATCCATGGGATCATCGTCTTTATCATGGACAACCTCAATTTGAGGCGATGACTTCAATGATGGCGTCAAATACCTTGAGTACTCCATCGTTTTCACTCGAAGATGTATATGGAAG